AAAAAAAAAAAAAAAAAAGAGAAAGAACTCAACAACAGTAGGTCCATGGAGGGAGGTTGTGCTGAAATCAGCGGTTGGTGGCTCATCCACGATTGGGAACTTTGATGTTGGAGAAATGGAAAAGGGCTGGGATGGACTCAACCTCAGTAGTTTCGTCTTAAGATGGTGAGGTAGGCCTCGTTACAACTTTAGAAGGTTCAAAAAAGGGCTAAAACTGGCAGGCTGCTTTTGGCTTAAGTCTTTATTCGCTTGTGCGTCTCTACAGGGATCTGCAGAATCCCGCGTCTTTCAGATCTTAACGTCTTCTTGGACGCTGAGTTGCGAGAGAGTCTTCTTAATCCGCAGAGCCGTAAGCCGTGCCGCTCCGTTGGCATACCAACACTCCCGCATGATCTTCCCCATCACTCTCAGCGCCTGCGGAGAGAAAACCCAAATAAAACTTGAGTTTTCCAGCCTCTCTCACAAGTATGCTTGCGGATAACAGCTGAATTTAATGAAAAGGCTGTATTTTCACATTGAAAAATCCCAGATGGCACGCCTGAAGCATATTGCACTCAAAAATGGCGTTTCAAATTGGCAAGCATGTTTGTGGTGAATGCTGCACCATTATTTGTGTTTTTTCTTCAGTGTGGTCTACTGTTATCATCAGTTCCACATGTACCAGTCCTAAAAGTCATGTATTGACTGAATAAACTGTGGTTGGTCACTGGAGACGTCAAAGTTGGAGGGTCATGGGCAAAATAAGCTGTAAAGCTAAACAGTGGGAGTTTTTACCTCGTAGCTCTGCCACCAGTTGGGCACATTGGGCCGTAGTCTCTGATCACACACCACCTTCCTCATCTCTTCTATAGAGGGGTCGGAGGGCACTAGATCATAGTAGGGAAGCTGGTAATCTTCATGGATGCCTGAGAAGATAGTAAAAATGTGAGCTGATAGATTCAGCAAGTTTATTGCTGAATGGCTCAATGCAACGTTTTATGTCATATTTTATTCAAGATTTCGTTTTATTGCTCATGTGTAGCAAAATAAATCAGCATTCAAAGTCACATGGGAAAATATTACAGCTGCAACCCAATATTCAGGATTGGGAGCTGGAGGCAGGGCTGATAATTCTGCCCTTGTATAATTTTCTACTCTAGGCCTCATCATATATGTAACTGTATTTAAACCTGTAAACATACACATTATTACATAGTAAACAAATTAAAGCCTAATAATTGCATTTAACTTTAAAAAAATACTAAATAAATATTCACACAACAAATTAGGGCTACATAAATTGGCCAAAAATTATTACATATCTATGATTAAAAATAAATATTTAAGTTACAACATTTTTACAGGAATTTCCACTAATCAGCTAAAATATGAAATGTGATTAAAAGATAGTGATGCTTTTTTCCTTTTTTGTCAGTAATTTTCAGTATTTACAAGAACTCACCAAGCTGTTTTTATTTGATCAAAACACAGTAAAAATAGTAATATTGTGAAATTTTATTGTCATTTAAAAATTTCAGTGTCACATGATCCTTCAGAAATTATTCTAATATGCTGATTTAGTGCTGAATAAATGGTACTGAGACACGACACCTAAAACTCTATGGCTCCTACAGCCAGTGAAAGCACTGATATTAATCACATTTGCTAAGAGATTGTGGGTGGAAGATAATTTAAGCTCCTTTTTCCTCACCTCCAGCATTACACCGTCGTGCAATCTCCCAGTATACCAGTCCCAAAGCGTAGATATCAGCACACTTGAAAGAATCAAAATGCTTCATGTTGATCGTTTCATCTAGTACCTCTGGGGCCATATATCTAAAAGGCAGAATAAATTCACATCAGGTAATGCAGTTTTCATAGTTACCTTTATAGTTAAATTTACATGAAGCAGCCGTTAACTGAATGTGGTAGAAGTGCCTGACAATAGATGTACCTTTTGGTGCCAACCCTCTGATTAGGTGCGATGTCTATAGTATCAGTGATAGACTCGTGCCGTACAGCGAGCCCCAGATCTGCTATGGCACAAGTACCATTCTTTTTCACCAGGATGTTTTTAGATTTGAGGTCACGATGCGCAATGCCTGGTTTTCCTGTGGAAGGAGACCATCGTGATTGAGTTTGGTTTTGTGAGTACAGGATTTGAGAGATTTTACAGTTCAGATGTAGAGGCCGACGTGTCAAACTGATTCATTCATAATTACCCTGTGTTCCCAGGATCTCCATGTGCAGATGTGCCAGGCCGCTGGCCGTTGAGAGTGCTAACTTAATCATCCCCTCGATTGTGACGGAGTAGTGGTTGAGATAGTCAAATAATGAGCCATGTTCATGATAGTCTGACACCAGCCACAGCTGTGTCCATGTGCCATTGTCTAAGAAACAGACACAAATATAAGAGATTTAGGGATGGATGAAATCACTGTCTTTATATGTTTGATCAATATATGAAATATATCAGTAATCACGTTATGATGACAAATTATAAAAAAAAAACATTATTTTGTATAATATTAAATATTAAAAAGCAAAAATTAAGTAAATGTAATGGATGGATGGATGGATTGATAGATAGATAGATAAATAATTATTTGAAATAATTACAATACTATAGATTTGCATTAAAATATAAAAAAATAAATGTTTAAACAATAATTATATTTAATTATATGTAATATAGATAGATAATTAAATGTTTTAACAATATATCAATTTGATTATATGCAAGATAGATAGATAGATAGATATTAAATAATTACAATACTATAGATTAGCGTTAAAATATAAAAAATTTAATGTTTAAACAAGAATTATATTTAATTATATGTAATATAGATAGATATTTAAATGTTTAAACGTAAGATAATGTTTATATGTAAGATAGATAGATAGATAGATAGGATTTATTATTTTAAATAATTATACTATTATATATTGTGTTAACTTTAAAATACTAAAAATTATAATGGTTTAAACAATATAATATATTGATTTGATTATATGTAAGATAGACAGATAGATCCTTCGATTCCTTAGACTCCTTACCTTTATTATCAGCAGCAATGAAGCCCAAGATGTTCTCATGACGGAGCATGATGGTCTGGTAAATCTCAGCCTCACGGAACCAAGAGCGTTCCTCTCTGGATGAGAAGATCTTCACAGCCACATCCCCTCCTCTCCATCTCCCCCTCCATACTTCCCCAAAGCGACCTTTACCTATAATTTCCTGCAGAACAATTGTCCTGGCCACTGTTCGCTGAACAAACAAGGGCAGACCTGCAATGAGAAAACTCATTAGCACACAAACAACACACTACTCACATACAGGAAGAGGACAGAGGCACAGCTTACCAGATCCTGAACCGGAGGTGGACAGATCGAAGATGAGATCCTGTAAGGTCTTGTCTTTGGCCAAGTACAGATGATCACAGGACGGATCCTCAACGTCGAGTCGCTGCCGATGGTTATAGTTGCGCTGGTGGTGCTGGAAAACGAGCACTCCCACGATAAGCAATAAGCAAAAGAGGAAGACCGGGCCTGCTATCACTGCCACCAGCTCTACAGGACCCCAGCTGTCCTCTTTACCTTCAGTAATCCCTGAAAAAGATGAGTAAAATGCACTTTACAGGTTGGACCTAGACGGATGGACCAATATTAAAATTCTGTCCAATACTTATAACAGGCAGACAATTATTTTCATGCTATGATAAATGGTCAATATTAAAACTCTATACTATTTTGTATAAATAAATTGAAAATGAAACGCTAAAAATTCAAAGTAATAGTTTTAAATGCATCCATAAGTGAAATTAGGCATCACATTATAATGTACAGTATGAAAATCAATTATTTTAAATAGAAATATTTTGTAATATTATACTGCATCCTTAAATGTAATATGTGACCCTGGACCACAAAACCAGTAATAAGTCACACAGGTATATTTGTAGCAATAGCCAACAATACACTGTATGGGTCAAAATGATAAATTTTTCTTTTATGCCAAAAATCATTGTAAAGATCATGTTCCATGAAGATATTTTGTAAATTTCCTACTGTAAATATATCAAAACTTACATTTTGATTAGTAATATGCATTGCTAAGAAC